TATATATATATATATATATATATATATATGATATATATAATTATATATATATATATATGATATATATAATTATATACGACCTATGCATGAATTTTGTTTCTATGATGTTTTGTTTCTATAATCGTAATTACATACGTCCGAAGAAGAAAGAAGCTAAACGAAGAAAGGAAGAAATAATTTATTCTATTAAACGTCTTTTAAACATGATTGGCCACTAAAAATAACACGAATATTTACTTCGATTGTACCGTACGATAGCGTTTTTCTCGATATATGGTCACATGTAATTATCAGGAGAAAAAAGATTATATATGTGTGTGTAAATTTTATCCATATATGCCCGTACGTAATTATATATAACCATATATGTTTACGACGAAAAAAAATATTGTTATACAAATACAATCACGATGTCAACGTTTAATTCAATGAAACTGTTTCCTTTTTTTTTAACATCATTTTCAATTCCCGTGTTAAGATATACATGTTTATATATGCGACTCTATATAGGCAAAATTCGTATATAAAAAATTTAAAAATATATATAATCATATAAATAATTATGTATATAAAATAATTTTTCCCGGAGACATGATTATGTATTGTGCCATGTAGAGACAACATTCACATATAATTATATGTTCCCGGGTGAATGTTAAAACTCGCGAACGTGAGAAATGAGGTTAAAAATACGATACATCGAACGCCCCGTACGTGGCGTTCCGATAAGCTCGATCTACCCTCACGTTAACGGAGATTCCGTGGTGAAATTTCAAGTCGACGTCGAGCATTTGGTAACGAACTTCACGATCCACAAAGCTCGACGCGCGACAGATTTTAACAAGTTACGAATCGAATGAGAGAGAATCTCAGCATTCCAAGTGAGTGTCAACTTACGTGCTCATAATGCCGCAGAGTCGCGTCAATTCCGTGGCACATTTGAATTCGCCGGGATCATAGCAGTGATTTTCACTTCCAGAGGTGAACTTTCGCGGCTTTGCACGGCCATGTTCGCCGCCGGCTAAAGTGGCGTATTTCGACGAGCCACTGTGCACTTCAGTGTGCTTTACGCGACTCGATTTATGCCTCACGCGGTCGCCCGTCGTTCGATTCGTGTCGGCAAGCTGTCGTTTCGCGAGCACACGGTTTTTATTCGAGCTGCGACTTACCGAAAAGAGCACTCACGACGTTGACCGTTACGAGCTCGTGCCGCCATAATTAAGTGAAACTTGCACCGGTAGTGGCGTAATTAGCCAAAAGTTACGCACGGGTAATACAAAGGGTGTCTGATTGGGCGATTTGATTGGTCGTATTTGATTGGCCGGTTTGATTGGAGATCACTTGAAAGATGCGACGCATATCTAACGTCATCTATCTTGTACCATTGAAACCTATTAAGACTCACCCACATGCAATCGGAGTTATATTTGAAAGTAGTTTATAACACTGGTTCGTGAATCGTTCGTGTATCTGTTTCCTTTGCGTAACTTTGTGGAAGATGAAAAGTTTCATCCAATTTAATGAAACTTTTCATCTTCCAGGAGTCTACGTGAAAAAGAAACAGATGCGTGATCAATTCACAGACGAGTGCTACACGGCTTTAAAACATAATTGCAAGCGATTCTTTAGAATTGTTGAACCTATGTTGTGACAAATGTTACGAAGTATTGCCAGAAATAAACGTATCGCGAATAAATGATGACGTAACAGGTAATAATAATGACGTATGGCAACTATTATCTATCACATTATTACGTACCATAGAAGTTTGCTTTTTCGGAATTCCAAAATATTGCCACGGAGGACACACGTCATCGCTACTACACACCTGAAATATTTTTAGCCGTTACTTACCGAAGCAAATTGAAATAAAATTTTGTTGTATATACTATATCTTTATCTCTTATAAATTTATATATATATATATATATATATATATATATATATATATAT